ATGTGATATTTCAGTTTTTCTTTTTTAATAAATATACAAAATTGTCAAAAATTCTGTGTTTTTCTGTCAATATGGGGTGCTGTGTGTACATTAATGAGGAAAAAAAATGAACTTAAATGATTTTAGCATATGGCTGCAATATAACAAAGAGTGAAAAATTTAAGGGGGTCTGAATACTTTCCGTACCTACTGTATATATTATATATGAACAAATAAAAAAAAACTTGAGAAGATAAAATCAGCTAGGAGACAATTACCCATCAGTTGGCAAACTGCCAGTTGATGGAGAAATAGAAACTGGTCAGCAGAGCAAAAAACAAGCAAACAAACAAAAAAATACAGTATCAGGAACACAGCCAAATTTCCCCAGGGTATTCAAAGTGAACAGAGGGAAAAGAAAACAGCAGAGCAACTAAATATCTGTGAGCCTGGATGTAACACAAACAGGCTTCCCTTCAGTGAGAGCTGGTTTGGGCAGGAAAAAAAAAACAACTGAAAAATGGCCGGTACTGGAAAGAGGAAATGATGGAGCATCTGTACAGACTTGGCATCAGCTAAGAAGACAGGCAAACCGGTTACATCATGGACCAGCCAAAATGAGCTAATACAGGCATCTTTTTTAGAGGTGATCAGGAATCAGATGGAAATCCAGCCTATCTGATGCTGAAAATCAACTGTACCTGATTGTCCCACGAAACATACTGTGTTAATGAAAGGCCACAGAGGGCCACAGTGGAGTAGAGGAGGAGGGACACATACTTACCATTTACAAAAAAGGGTCAATAAAAAAAATAAATCTGCTAATCCTGCTGTTGTTTTAAGCCATGCTAATGGAGCAGCTCTACGGATGGGAATCTCAGTCTGTCAGCAGTTGGTTGGTCCAGACTGAAATATTTCTTTTGGATGAATTGCCATGAAAGTTTGTACATAAATTCATTTCCCAATGGATGATACTGACTTTGAAGATCCCCTGATTTTTCATTTAGTGCAGCCAGCAGTTTTGCTCATGGTTTTAACTGAAAAGTGTCAAAAACAATTGTATAGATTTCTAATACAATTCTGCACCCACATTCAAGTCACCTTAAGGACGAATTGTAATAACTTTGGAGATTAATTGTTCTCCAATGTAATCATCAGGTCAAAATTTCAATACATGCAATGCCTTGGAGCTAATTGCATTTCTATAGGCCTCAACTATGCTTGTCTTTAATGCTAATTATAAAATGTTAACATGCCTATGTTAACACCTACCTGTTTAACATCAGCATGGTCATTCTCAGTGTGTTAGTATGTGGACATTAGCATGTGGCTCAAAGCAGCGTTGTGCCTAATTACAGCCCCACAGAGCGTTTAGCTTGGCTGCAAACTCTTAGTCTTGTTATTGCAGCTTGTTTAATCCTAATATCTTTCTCTGCTGACATCAAAATGTTAAATGGCAGTAACAGAATAAACAATAATCACTATATAGTGTCAGCAGTTTGTGAGGCAGATATTAATATATGCTACATGTTGTGCATTTTATGTAATTACCATCAAATGTCAGGGTTTTTTTTTTTACAGTCTCTGTAGCCATCTATTTCAAGAGAGTCTCTCAATACATGAGGCACTACAAAGACTTTCTGGTACTGCTACTGCAAAGCTGGATAAACAACCAAATGTCACAGAGAAAGGATAAAATCTGGAAAGTCAGTCTTGTCATTTTGATGAAGCTGCGTATGCCTCCCCGGGCTAGTCATGACTGATGATGCTGTGGCTTGCTGCCCACAGAGTCCTTCATTCTGCTATATTTAAAGAATGACCATCTGAGAGCCACTTTGTGCTCACATCAAAACCACAAAACATGGACAAAAGAGGAATAATCATACACAAGCTGTTCAGGTCTTATAAAGTCTGAAAAAAATAACTGCATCCAGCTCTTTGTGATGAGTAAGGAAGACGTGGCATTCTTTGTTTCCATTGTCTTTCTCATTCTCCTTTTATTCTCATGCCCTCCCACCATGCTCTCCCTCCCTCAAGGCAAATTGATAAAGACAAATGCTATAGTCGGCTATCATTGCTATGCTAGGACCCAATGGGCTGCAGCGTTATATTTTTCTTTTTCTTTTGTTTGATGATGTGATTTTGTTTTCTTCAGAAATAGATTTGTCTCTAATGGCTCTGTTTACCTATCATCTCTTTCCCCTTTTCCCTATTCCCTCTGTGCAAGGGTAAGGATGGAGTGCTTTGGGCTGCACAGTCACATTACCTAGAGTCTGCAGACTACAGAGCTGCACCCAACAGGACAAAATTCACTTCACACATTCATCATTTTCTATGAATATGTAGCTGTTCCATGTTAGAAAAATTAATTATTTTAAGTTTTAAATACAAACAAAATCATTAAAAAATAGCATTGCAGTGAACACTGCTTGAAGTGGAAAGTGCACCTGCATTGATCTGACATGATATGATACAGAACGGAACAAAACAATCAGCCCCAAATGTCACACACTCACTAGGGTTCCTGTCTGTTTTTTGTCCTTCCACACCCAGTCAGTTGACTAGTAAACAAAAAATGGATGGGAGTTGAATGATGTATCCAGTTGGTGTACATAAAACAACACTATAGTGAGAGTACATTTTTTTTGTCATATAATTTATAACTACATGAAAGCCTGGAGTCATGGGGAAATTTTGCAAATTTCAGCACATTTTAACTGCATGCTGCATTTATGAATTTTAATTTTATTGGATTGTATACATTTAATGTGTCAGTAAAATTTGTTGTAATATTTGCATTTTGGCAGTGCCACTCCCCCATTGCTTTATTGTGATAGTACAAGTCTACAGTCTTTTTTTATATCAATAATTTTGATCATGGAAGATATCAAAATAATGACTTTGGAAACTTAAAAATGACAATGGAGAAAATCATTAGCTTCTGTATTCTCTCTTAAATTGAGATTTGCACAAGAGTTTGCTTCCTGTGCTATGTGATGAGGGAGCACTAGGTCCTGGTATTCTTGTTGATTTATTTATAAAATGTCACTGTTTGCACTGTGGCCTCAAGGAGGGCCACAATCCATAAATGTCTGAACATGTAGAGGTCACTTTGGCATCATGCTTTACTGAACCAGTAGATGGGCATGATTACAGGAACACCAGCACACCCAAACACTAATCCAGTATAATATCATATAATATCCAAACTTAGTAGCAGTTTTTGTAGCTATAAAATGGTGCTGTGGTATTATTTTCTATTATATTGTACATATACTGTGGTGAGTTATTGTGTCCATCCCTTGGAGGTTTTTTGTTGTTGAGCACAATGCCATTTCTTTACAAAACAATATATAATGAAAAGGTACTACTGTATTACTGGTGGCTACAAATGTACCTTCAATTAATGTTTCCAACATTTTATGTAGGTTACGTTAACCACACCTGGAGCATATCTTCTGTTACTTCTGACACAAGGTAGTGCTTCTCCATGGGTGTTTTATGTATCATAGGAGGCCACAGCAGACTGCTAAGGTAAAAATAGATATTTAATGGGGGCAGGCAAGAGTATGATCAAACTCCATATGGAGACTCTAACACAGACCACATCACTGGAGAGAAATGATGCTCCCTTAGTCTCTGGAAGACCCTATAGGGGACTCACAAGGGGCCAGATTAGGTATTGTTTGGGCTTCGGTGAATGTGAGAGCCAAGATTTGCAGGCATTTTTACAAGCCTGAGTGTTTTCTCTCCAGCACCTTTGGTGCAGTAAAGTGTTCCTAAAAATCCCTTGGCTGTCATCTAGGTTCTGCAACATAAAGACAGTGGAAATCAAAGCCGCTTTTTCTCCAACTGTCACCCCACTTTTACCTGCCTTGAGGAAACCCAGTCTCTTAATCTGTGACCAAAGAAGAATAATGTCCTTTGACAGAAGGATGGCTTCAGGCTAAGGAGAGCCTAAAGGCTCATTGTAGACAAGCTGGAGGGATGAGGGAAAGGAGAAGAAGAGTCAATTAGGTTTTTCTTTCATTGTCACAA